TATTACAATTTTCTTTTTTGTTCACAAATACGCACATATACAAATTCCTATAAACTATCATAATCAAACAATGTATAATACTGTATGTTGGTTTTATAGAATTATTTGTTACCTACTTACCAGAATAATAGCATGCTTTTAGAAATATGTATAGTATTATTTGCTAATTAAAAAACAACTTATAAAATCTACATTATTGTTTAACGTTGAGTGACCAGAATCGCAGTATACATTGAAAAATTTAGAAAGTTTGTTAACACCCCCCTATTTTCAGTTTTGTCTATAACTTGTGTTAAATATTTATTGAACCCCCCTTCCCCTTTTTTCGTTACTATTTAAATTGTATCAACTCTCATCTTTATTTTCCCTGTTTATTGAGTTGACATTATACTACATGTATGACCGGCCACCAAAAAATTGATTGCTTCAGTCTCCTCGGCTGGGTAACGTGGTGGTGTGTTTATTTATTTATAATTTATTTATTTTTTAAAAGATAAAAATAGATATACTAAGTATATCTATACGGTCATGCAGAGGCCTGCCCATCTCTACTTCACTAAGGAAGTGTTGAGGAGATGGAACAGTGATTTGAGGCTGGAAGCATAAGGTGAACAAATAAGAATAATAACAATTCTTATCACCAATGAACGATTTATCATAATAAGATTAATCAAATATATATAAATATACAAAAGCAAAAATTTTGGGAAGGGTTTATTTTCGTAGTATAAAATCTAGAGGAAGAGGCAGGGCGGACCTTAAAACGCAGTATAATAAAAGGTCCGCCCTCCGTATTTCAGATGTTACTTGTACAAGTCAAATATTTTGAACAGGATTTTATTTCCATAACAGAGAAAAGTTCCGCCCTCTGTATTTCAGATATCCGCTAAAAGTCGTTGAAAATCTAATTTAAACCAAACTCAAACTCAAAATAAATATAACAAAATATTAAAAGAACACGACTGCTTTATGAATTTTTATATGAGTCACGATTTCAACAGACATTTTCTTTTAAGGGGAAAATCCATGTCAAGTTGCTCTGTAAAACCCCTCTGTAAATAGTATGGGTGGATAAGATTCTCTCGAGTAAGAAGGTGGAAAAGGAGAAAATTCTGTACTGAAGCGTATTTCCTATAGTGGATAATTAAGCCGGGGTTGTTTCTTCCAAGCTTGCTGCATGTCATTTCCGGAATTTTTCATTGCATTTCCGACATTTTTTGTTTTAATTTTTTTCACATTTCTTTAATTTTCATTTCCGACATTTTATTTCACGTTTCCGGATTTTTTAAGACCCCTTTCTGGTAATTTAATGTTAACCAAGCAGGCGGAAATAGAATTTTAACAGAATATAAATATTTAATATAACATTTATGTCAAATCCCATTTTTCCGATTAAAAACATTACAAAACATGCAACACTAAGTCTAGTAAAAATACAAAGTCTAGTAAAAAAAAAAAATGCAATAAATAATTTCAATAATAAATCATGCAATTTTTGATCACCAAATTTTAATGCCCACTGAATTATATGTGTTTGAAAGCACCGAAAAACAGAATCCCCTCAGCTGTGACTACTTTATTCCCTCAAACATAGTTTCTGTAGGTCATAAATTATATCTTAGCCTTTCTGATCTCAAATTCAATATGATTATCTTGATTTGAAAAGATGAACAAAAATTCACAACACTTACATGTGTCCGAGGATAAAATCATCGTAAGATTCTTTTAAATATAAGCAGAACTTATTATTTGGAAATCAATGAATTATTCTTGATTTATTTTTTATTTTTTTTATAAGGGAAATTTCAATTCTAGTTTCATCGCCGGAAAAGTACTTTATGATAAATGTCAGAGATGAAAACTTTAAAATGTCATAAATGAAAACTACAAATGTAGGAAATAAAATGAACAATATTTTTAAAAAAAATCTGGAAATAAAATCCTATGCTAGGCTCATTTTCCAAAAGGGGGGGGTCTTTAAACCCAAGCTCGTTTTTCCGAGAAAAAAAATATTCATGCGGGAGGAAAGTCTACAACATCGGTACTTTTTAAACTATTTGTCATGTATCAGCATAATTTTGTTATACCCCACCCACCATAAATACAACAAGACCATTTATAATCTTTTTTTTTTTGGGGGGGGGGGGGTATTGCTTAAAATGTTCAACTCGACTGACTTTGGTTTGATTTTGCCAATTAATGCACGTCTTCCTTAACCAGTGTTAACCCCGGAGTAATATCAAGTTTCAAGTTTCTTTATTTCCTTAAGCCAACTGGCTCATCAGAATAATAATACAATCGTGGAAAAGGAAAACAAAATCATACGGAGAGAGTGAACGTAAAGAATACATAGATGAAAATAGTCTTATACATCGATATTATTTTTTCTTAACAATGTGGCAGCATTAGAATGATATAATCGTTAGTCTTTAACTGGATAAGAAACGATGTTTATAAAAACACAGGGGATATGCGACTTCAAGTTTTGTCAAGTGAGACAATAGGCCTAACCCCAGTGCACAGACATGTTGTTTTAACAACAACGGGTTTTTGGCTAGTACACCGTAACACTTAAATCTCTGTCACAGTGACCCTCCAATTATTTTATAGTTAGCTACAATGTGAATCGTAAGAATTATGCATAATTATTATTAATAATATAACGAAATATCTTTCGAAAGATATGAAAATTCTTTTTGGGAAGTGGAAGTCGAACGTTATTAGGAAAGAGAATGTAATGAAATGATCATTGTTGGACTTGCGAACACTGTATACTGAACAGTGTGCCAGTGAAGGTAAACGTATTATATAATTATATATATATATATTTTTTTTATTTTGCAATGATAATATTGATATCACTTAAACTATAAAAGATACAAGTCGTACATGATTTTCCCATAAGGTAACTCGATCAACAGATCTTTTGCATTTTTATATTTTTTGTTTCGTGCACTACCTGGGAGGTATGTACATGTACTAAGATAAGGAGCTAACAATTAATCAGTGCTAACATCAAATTTTGAATAATTGTTTGATAGATAATTTGAGGTTTTGTACTGAAATATTTGATAGCATTAGAAATATAATTAATCAAAATTGACTAACGAAATTAGCAACAAGCGAGATATCGCAAGACTTGATCCTGTTGGTCATGTTGGTATATATACAATGTAACGTTACATGTACGTCCCTGGAACTCCATTTTGTTGGGAGAGACATAATTATAATAACTATACCTTAAATAATTTAAACTTAATTAAAAGATTAATTAAGCAAATTAATTTCGAATCAATGAAGGAGAAAATCTGTATATTAAACCGAGGGCGGACCTTTTATTATAGAGGCAGGCCGGACCTTATATGTTATCATATTAGGTCCCCTCGGACCTTTAAACGAGGCGGACCAAATATTATGCGACACCGGTCATTTCAGTGCCAGATATTGTGTGATAAAGGACGCCGTAATATGCCATCCAAAGCCGTGTTCAATATGATATCGGAGTGTTTTAAAGCAGTATTCTTCCCAACCTTTGGGGGCTGGTAAATAGTGCCCCTTTTTTAAAGCATTTAATGTTTCTTCCATCGTCATAAAACTTCATATCTTTCTATTTTATTGTGAGTTGGAATATTTGAAAAATTCCACACAAGCAGTGAACCATAAATACATGAAGCAGATAAATCATACCATTATTCAACCTCCATTTTGTTCCTGAATTTTAAAATTTTCATTAAAAACATCTTTGTGGCTGTTTAGGTAATGTACACAAGGAATGGGAAACCATAACTGATAATATTGATGAATGTTACCTCATAGTAAAACTGTGTAGGGGGTTCATTACTTTTTCTATTGTTTTCAAAGAGAAGAAATGAAGTGACACCAGCTTCCACTCAAGTAAATTATTCCCTTTGATGACAAACCAACATACTCATAGACGTACTGGATATCATATCTTTATGTGCATCATATAAAACCTTCACTAGAAAAAAACATAAACAACCTCTCTGCTCATGAAAAAATGAATTTTACTAGACCTAGACAGCTTCTAAAAGCAGGAAGCCTTTTATGTAGACATTAGACTCACTTCATACAACTAGAAGCCTAGTAGAAGAATGGAAATCATTCATTGCTATTATACTTATTTGCCATTTCTTAAGAATAAATCTGCAATAAAAGGGAGTCTTCTTCAGGAGCAGACTATTTAGTGGGTAATGGCACGATTATTCTCCCACCAGATCTAACTGGCATGACATTAATACACAGAGGATGCTGGGGACCTTGGGTAATTGGTCGCTAATCAAGTCTGAGATGTACTGTAGCTGGTACCAGGGGAGTATACAATGGACCATATCGGAAACTCGAGTGTATAAATAGACAGCGATAAATGGAATGAAATGGAGAAAGGCATTTGTGTTGTCCAGATTGATTGACGGGAAACAGACCCGAATAAGTTATAAGCCGGTTCTTGACAGTTTCTGGAGTACAGCATGCCATTGATTAAAAACGTCACAATAGGTCGAGACCATAGGAATTCTGATCAGCATCGGAGACAATACTCTCCAATACAATTATTTGTCGCCTTGAAGAATACATTCAATTTTAATTATTTAAGACAATGTATGTTTTATTGTTATTACATTTTCAGAAAAGATAATAAAAATTTTGAAATAATGGCATTTTTAATAGCTAGGTTGATTGCATCCATTTGAAGTGTGATAATTTATAGTTTTTAAATTATCACTTTTGACGTACATGACGCTACAGATCTCTAATCATGATGTCTTTTTTATATTTTATTCATCAAAGCACTGCCTTGGCAAGACATATAGAATTGTGGAAAGCTCATTTCGAAGACATTACACAACTCCTGTAGGACTTCTATATTATAGCCGCCTCAATACAACACCATCTCAAAAAATCTTCCTGCAAAATTATTCATAACCACTGAGCAGGAGATTTTTGATGGTGAAAATTGTATGTAATCACAAAGGATTAAAGGAAAGCTATTATGTACAATTGAGTTACTATTGATCAGTGGACTGTCATATATTTACAAATCTGTTATATTCCAGCGCTTATGTTGTCTCATTGCTTCACACTGCACCCTCGGAGTTTTCAGGCGAACTCAGTTCAAAACAGCAGAATCACCAGGAAACTGATTATCCGGAAAATGTGTTTCTTTGAGTGCAAATTGTTCATTTATTCAACTCGAAGGAGTGTTCGAGTAAAAGGAGTTGTGTACTAGTATATACTATAATTATTTTGGTGATGCTTCTAAATTGACAATAGAACCTTATTCATACCTGCATGGACGAGTATCAAGAGAGTATATGGTATCGTCTATAGTAAGGTTTGTATTCGTATACTCTTGAAGGTTAAATCGAGATCGAATTTGTCTTTTTGATCATTGAAGTTCAAGAAAAAATCATTTATTTCCAGGAAAGCGTAGTAAGGTTTAATGAATGCAACGAGGAGGGAAGCTGCAGGGCTGAATGTTACTGGCGTGTGATGAATTATCAATTAAGTTTTTTTTTTTAATTTAAGAACCCATACATTTTATAACTGAACACCGTTTCAACAGGTCTTTATTATTAACATTCAAACAATTTGGAATTAAAAAAATTGGAAAATTGCTTCCGAATTTTTCTATATTAAAATCAAACATCATGAAAATAGGTTTTATTTCTAACTTTCAAGCATGCATGTTTCAATCAATTTGGACTCGTGTGTTTTCAATTATTGTATTATATTCGATATTTCGATAATAGTGTCGGTTGTATTATCTTAATGAATTTCTTGGATATTTCTGAATAGTTCTGGAATATTATAGATCTATGTATATATATTGTAGAATTAAGCTTCATCAAAGTTATTTACTCAGAAATTTTAATGGTTTTTAAGACACAAAACAACAACTTTAAATGACTCAGAAACAATATTGTATTTAAACTGTAATACTACAATAAATCAAATTCAATTTAAGTGATTAAAATAGAATTATGAAATAGATTATTGTCCATCCGTAAATAGAAATAAGGGGTAACAGGCAATTTAATGCAACATAGTAATAAAAATTCAGTGTATCAGGGCTATCTGCTAAAGTCATCGCTATGGAGCGTGATTTTATCACTGGAAAAGAGTTATTTAAACATGATGTCCCAATCATCAAAAATAATCGGTTATGTGAAACAAAATCACATGACAATTTGCATTTCCCCTTTAACTATATAAAATCATTGAGATATTAAATTGTGGATTTAGTGTTTTATCTGACAGACTTCGTGTTAGAATTCGCTGATGGTGTATCTATTGATTTGGATGGGGTATCCTGTGTAGTTCTACACTGAGCACTGAACACTCAGGTCATCAAAGGAAGGCAAACATACTCTCACTCGCTCTTAAAACACTCATTAGAACACAATTGGATTACTATCTATATAAGCCGTGAAAGAATTGATGAACACTTCAACTTGGCCTGTTAGATCATTCGCTCTAGCCAAAAAAATGTTTTGTTTGATTGCGTATCGGTAAACGAAATAAATCTAACAAAATACTAAATTGTGATTATATTATTAGTTATAATAGAGTAGAAATTTAACTGTAATGGGGAAATTCTGTACCATGACAGAAACAAAACTTCACACTTAGCCTTAAATTAAGCTACTTGAATAGGAGCCAGCAAAATAAAAGTCGAAGAGCAAACATCAAGTTTCACTTAAGAAATAATTAGGGCATAAGTAGCTCTATTTCGGTTTAGAAGCAGGTGTCTCCGGAGAATTCAATTCCGTGAAAAAGAAAATTGCTCAAAATGAAGAAATTTGCTGAATTTTAGGGATTTGATCATTGAGTCAGTAACCATGTGTACCTCAATATATTAAAATGCTCTCATAAAATTTGTTTGAAAATAAGATTTAATCCAAACAAAGTTAATTCACCGCTGGGGACACCATAAATTCTGATACCCCCGATGTCCTGTTGGTTTAGTTTATCCGGAATAAGACCTAAAAACTAATAACATGCACGTTTTCAAAGGCTTTTTAATTGAGAAGGGAAGAAATATTGCATTGAATTTGCTTGTACCAAGTAGGAGGTTCCGTACTATCGCAGCATGCGCGCACGTGCTTCATGACTGGCGTAATATAATGTGTTTTGTTTCTTAATAACAAGGGGAGAGGCTTATTGAGTGAGTGCAGAACTTGGTTGGTCAGTTTTAAGTCAAAGGAAGTGCATGACAGAAATGATGCGGTTTATTTTCCGATAACGAAGTATCAACAGGGGATATTTTTTATCGCGGAGAGCCGGGGGTAAAGTGGGTTCAGGTTTCCAGTATCCGTGGTATTGGTTTTCATTCACTGATTGAGTTAACAACTCTTCATAGATATATGTATCAGATGTGAATGGACCTAATAGGATTAGTCCCTCGGGAAATAACCCCGTCTACAGGTGTTCACAGCGATATGTCTATAAAGACTTCACAGAAACAGAGTTGCTTTCTCATTCTTGTACACTAACGATGGTAATGAAGAGCATTTCCATATATATTTGATTCGTGTGATGTTTTATATATGAGGGATCGATTTATTGTTTTAGATCGAAAGTGGCTTTTCAAAGAGTAAAAAGGAAAGTAAACATTTGGACCATTTGATGAGTAAAAGCATTGGATGTAAAATCAATACCTAAGCACTATTTGATGAAAATGTGAAAAGTATTAACAGTTTTAATTAGTAAAAGAGGGACAGCTGTTAATCTGACTTCAAAAGGGATGGAGGTACCTCACCTCGCTGTGTGTCGTCTGCGTTTTAATGGTAACAATGATATATAATGGTATCTTTTGTGTTTTGTCTGTGGATACTTTTGACCGCCGCTATTGCAGCAGTTTGGTCTGTGAGCCTGCTACAGCCGGTGTGGGTTCTTCACCCAGACAATGTTCACTCGTTTGGACTACAGAAATACTGTGTTATAGACACCCAGGAGAGAGGGGATCTCCATGCCAGTGCGTTACAGAGGAAGTGCTTACCCTATGGGAAAGAGTTACACATTGGAAACATTCCATCAGGAACATGGAGGGCGGCATTTCTTCTCTTTTCTTCTGGAATTCTCCTTTTCATTGCTAGTGTACTTACTGGGCTAATGTCGCTATTCATCCAAGGAAAATGGGATAAATATGTATCCATAACAACGAAATACATCCAATCAACTGCAGGTAACAGATATAGGGTTATGACAGTTTGAATACAGCTCTACATGTTGATATGTTTAAAACGTAATACATTCTATAATTTAGTGGAAAATATAATATCTCTTTGATGTACCAATCAAAACAAAAATATGAATGAAACATTGTCTAATCACCTTGGAGAATTATTTATATTTGGTAAAGTGTTACTTGAAGAGAAAACGGGAAAAAATCCTTCGCTGTTCTGTGATACTCATTCATGACTTTGTTAAATATTGTTTCTGAGTAAGTTCATTTCTAGACAGTAAATAAATAAATAATTTTATTAGGGAATATAAAATTCAACAGTTAGATAGGGAAAAAACCGATTTGGATGTACTTTTACAAAATGAATGATTTAGCAATCAATTATAGTCTTCCCACAGAAACATCCGCTTCTACAGAAAACAGTAGGAAACTATCTAATGCCGCTTCATGATCAGGTCTATAGGACCTGATAAATCGAAGTCAAAATTGCGTTCATACATAATAGTACATTACCAGTGGTGGCAATAAACGGCAATAAAGCTCCATTTTTTTAGCCAATACGACACTTGTGTGGCACCTTCTGCATCTCAATCTAATCTTTACAATATAGCATTACATCGTAAATTCAGAGCCAAACTCTCTTTGGATCAACCTGATTTTTAAGCAATATTCTTAAACTTTGCCGTTGGTTGCGCTGTTATCTGTAATCCTGCGCTGGGACATGTGGTAAAACTATCAATGTCTTGTTAATAAGCTTATTATCTTACAAAACACAAACACACACTCGCAATCTGGGGGTTGAAAAGATTATTTTCTTATAGATAATGCCAAAAATTTTCTCATGGTCAATAAAGGGACACGAGTTATTGAACATGCTTTCCTTGAAAAATAAAAACAACTCGCTTTCAAATTTTGCTTTTGCTATTTGGATTACGGAAAAATTAGAAAGAGATAGAGGAAGGCGGATAGGGGGATAGGGGTGGGGTTTACGGGTAAAAAAAAAATTGTTATTGAACATCTAACTTGTCCCGGGATCAATGGATAGGGATATTTTGCTGATGTTTCTTGAGTTGTAAAAAGCATTAAAATAAATTCACTTACAAATTTGACATGTAGATTTCATAGATTTATTTCAAAGCAAGTTAGAATGACGTAATATGAAGTCCTTTTAATGTGAACTTATTTCAAGTACCACTAAATCGTTTCTCATGGTACTGAATATTCGAATTATTTAAAATATCCTTAAAATCGTGAGTGTAAAGTTAACCAATATCGATAGATATTTTTTCTCTATTTGTCAAAACCCTTGTTTTTTTTTTTTTAAAGTGTTGTTGTAGTTACATAGCAAATTCACTGGAGAATTCAAGAGTACAAAACCAAGTTAGTTTTTTCAGCAAAGATTGATGGTGATCCGGACAAAATATCACATTTGTTAATGTTTTTGTCAGTATGGAAGACATATACAAAATATAAAAAAAGCTAACCATTCAAGTAATGTTTTCCTTTCTGGATAATTTAGAAGAAAGAGTTAGTATTTCTATCTTTGTTGGAGCTTTGTTGATGTATATCAGCGAGAAAAACTTCGTAAACGTCTATATTTCTTGTTTGAGGGAGTTAAGTAATATCACATTAAAGAATAATCAATTCTTGCTTTCAATTTCCAGTGCTTGTCGTCATGTCCGCTCTTCTGACCTACCCCCTAGGATTTGGAAGCCATTTCTTCCGGTACTATTGTGGATCCGGGGCAGGACCCTATTACACGGGGCAGTGTAGCATGGGGTGGAGCTATATGCTGGCCATAATGGGCGTGGCTTTGTCCGTCTTCTGTCCAATCTTATGGAGTTTTAGGTGGATTAAGCGTGATGAGGTCATGGAAGGAATACCCGTTTAACTGTGAACTTGGACATAGAGTACTAGAACATATTATTTCATATCATTCCGTGAATTTGCTTCATATTATATATATTAAAATTATGTTAATACAAAAGTCTGATCGTGTTCGATATTTATTTCATGTGAGCAGTTAAATGAAATAGATTTATCAAATGGATAACTACGCTGAAAGCTGAAAATTCGAATGCCATGGTTTTTCCTTAAGAAAGCGAAAGAAAAAAAGTTTGCTCAGGGTTCTTTTTTAAGTAAATAAAACATGTGTATTTTGAATTTTAAAGTTAATTTCCTGCGTACACAAAAAAGTGAATTGACTGATAACCATCTTTGTCAATTAAACATGCTGTTTCATGTTGAAAACTGAATTATACAATTAAAAGAGAAAAATCAAATGTTTGCAGTGATACGAATTCTGTTACGATTCTCTTTATCTTCACAATCATCACCAAATTGATTTGGTTTCCGATTTCAGGAATGTAATAAAGATCGCCAGGGAAAAATCATTTCCATTGGGGTCTGAGTCTGCAGTCAAATTCATTGAAGCTTGTGGATTCTCTCTCAACTAAAATGCAAAGGCAAAAATTATCTTTGAAGTATCATGTGATATAAATTTTCCTGAGTAATAAATAAGCTGAGAAAGAAAGACATAAAAGTAGAAAACCTCGGGGTAAAATCACTCAAGAAAAAAAATCATTATAAATGATCGAAATACTAGTTCTTCATAAGTCGTAATTATTTCTACTTGATAGGTGTAAATACAGAGTATATGGTATGTTTCGATAAGGATCTTTGATAACAATGTTGCACAAAGATCAATGTAAACAAAGGATAAAAAAGTACAATCTTCAAATTTACACTCTCAAATAGCTATCAGATACGACGAATTCGTGCTATTTCTTGATAACTTGACAGGGAAATTGCTGTACGTCAATATAAATATTCATCATAGAATCTTAGAAGGCATCTGTCTGTGAGTGTCAGTCTTAATTCCAAGCCCGACTGAATTGTTCTCCAGTCAAAATATACTTTGTTTATTGTCCTAATCAATTATGAATATATGTTTCAGAACGAATTACTTTATGCCATTTTTCTGTTTTGCTATCAGCAAAGACATGGAGTTTTTCATTTTAAGAATTAAGAGGTAAAAAGTGTTTTATGTAATTTTCATGTTCCTTTCTCTAATAAATGTTACAAGGAAAGAAGAATGAAAAGTTACAGTTCTTTTAAAATTTGGTGAATATTAAAGACACTAATCACCCTCTATCCCTTTCTAGCATCAAAATAAAGTAGAGACTTAGTGCTTTCATTTCCTACAAAAAAGTTTCCTTTGAGAGTCCAGGTATTGAAAACAGGCTTTGTAAAATTGCAATGTTCTTGTATTTTGCAGAAAACAGGCGTATTTGAGTACATTCAAGAAAGAATTAAAATATGAGCACACCCATCGACCCCAAAAATAAAACATGTTCTATAATCTCCAGAAACAGATCTTTCATTATATATTTGCATATTTTGGATACGAGGTTGAGCTCTATATTAAATATTGAAAATACTAAAACTTTATGACATTTCTGGAGGAATTTTCAGGATATGGAAAAAATACCACATTTCATGACATCTATTGCATCGACTACAGAAAATTACTTCGTATTTAATAGATGCACAGCCACCAAGGGTCCAAGTGATGATGCATTGTCAACCAAGAATGTGCAATTTTGATTTTCTAGAAATTCACAGGGCCACGAAAGGCTCTAAGCGAACCTTTCTCATTTCTACCTAGTGCCGCTTACCGATTGGCAAAAAATAGAACTATTGTCCAGTTTTTCTCATACCCCACATAAGACAAGATAACATCTACTATCTAGCTTCTTCGTCAATACCTGACCACTATAACCCGTTGTTGAATTTTACCTACAAGCACATTACATAAGACATACACCAATATGTAGGATGTATGGCCAGTATGTGGGTATATGAATATGTTGTACTGACATATGAATAATTTAATACACGTTCAAGACATTCTGTGATTTGATTAGATGCCGAAGGAAAAAATAAGCAAAATTATACACGCTCGAATTTAAACCCCTTTTCAGTATTTCAAATTAACATTTCCACACTGAGAAATGTGAAGCTAATATATATAAGTTTTTTCATTTATAAAAAAATTATGGATACTAGTATGTTAACATCATCACTGAATGAAGCAAGATTTAATCCGTGAAAACCCCAACAAATCCTTTTTACAAGTAACAAGTACCATTGACTAATTTTATCAACGTTACATTGGCAAATGTGTTTGATAAGAAATAATCATTAATGTTGTACATGTGTCACTCATATCGACAATTTATCTGACGTTCATAGTAAAATAAACACGGAGAACCTTCTGTCTGATTTTCTGTTGATGTTGTACTCACAATTACACGATATGGTGTGGCACGTGACACTATCAGAAAACACGACTTTTGACAGTTTACAACAAAACATCATCATAAACAGAATTTAAGTTAAGCACTTCCTATTCATATCGTCAATAAGTAATGGTGAACTCACGGAGGCACATTGCATATCAAAGAACTATATTTAATCATGGTGATGAAAACATCCGCGTGAAATGATATCCATCAACATGTCAATGTTTGTGTTATCTCAGTGAGAAATCAATTCCGCTGACAGAGATGGGTCGCTGAATTAGTGATTACACAACATATTAGAAAACAATTAAAATATCGACCTATTTGGTTTATATCCACATCTAGCCGTACGCTTCTATCGCTCTTGATTTTGAACACACAAAATGTGATAAAGTTTCATTCTGGAGCATAGAATATCCTTAGTTCCTATAAGTAACATCTTATCTTTTGTATATATATTACACAATAACTAATGTCTAAAATAATTTTGGGGCATTTAAAAACAAACAATTGTGAGGCATTTTTAACCTTCATTGCATTAATTAAAAACAGAAGATTCTTTATCTGAATGCAAATATATTAATGATAAACTTTGTGAGTTTATTACAACCCTTTATGTAAAGAAAATTCCTTTAGTGTAACAAAAATACCAAGAAAACATCCAAAGGTTTATTGAAACCGTTATTATATTTAAACCTATACAAAAAATGTTCAGGATGATTTCTTTACATTTTTTAAAGAATCATTTTAAATGTTTAAAATTTCAGGGAGCCCGACTCTTTCAAAAGATGACAGAAATTCATTTCTTTTTTTTTTTTTTTTAAATTTTGAAACCTGTCCAAGAGTATGCCATTCGATGGGCTAAATATGAAGGGCAACACCTCGACACTTTGTTAGACTCCATCAAAATATAAGTTTCACATTAAAATCTCGAATTTGACAATGTTTATAGCATCTTTCCTTCTGTTTTCTGTACATTCCAAGTGGTACAAGAATTTTAAAAGATTTCTTGAAATATGAAGATAACGAACAGAAATCAAGCTCAAAAGCCTATTGAAACAATACAAATTGGGAGCAGAGCAAACACAGACCTCTAAAACATCATAATTGGGATCAGGAACCATGGAGAAATAAGCATCCCTTGTCGACCGGTCATACCCGCCATGAGCTCCTTTCTAGATCGGATAAACCGGAAAATCCGTAGACAATTCGGTGTGAAAATAATGGTCTAACAATTTGTATTAAAAACAACTGTCAATATTCGACATAACGGTAGATTGTATTTGGTGACAAGGTCATTTTATCGTAAATAGAATTTGCGAAATGTTAACTTTAAACGAGACTGTTGATATCCTTGTATCATCAACTTATTTGTTGATGATTATATGGAGGTAATAATGGTACATTGCTACATAAATGAGGGATGTTGAGGATAGAAAAGTTAAAATTGCGTTTATCATAAATTTTTGTTAGGTTGCCATTAACATCTTTTTCCAGTAAATATCCAAATACGAAACAGATGTGTCAGACTCTATCGTATTTTTTATTTCGAGTTCAAAGGGATATATCGAATCAACGTATATTGTTGATTGATAAAACGTCGTCGATATATCTATTACTAGTAAATGTTGAATTGAAGGTAACAGTAAAAGACCTCTTTTTTCATATAGAAGTTTTTCAATAAATCCTGCTTCATATGAATACAAAAATAAGTAGGTCTGCTAATAACGGGACACAATAAGTACCCAGGGAATTTCTACAGAATGTTGGAAGCCTTGATCCCCAAAACTACATAGATTTTGTTAATCAGAAACTCAAGCATCTTTTTAGTATTAACTTCGGCGTTCTCTTGTGTACAGAATTTTTTTTGACAAAATAATTTGCAAATGGCCAATGACAAGAGAAGTAAATTTACGGGTTCCATTTTTTATCAAAAAAGGAACTGTCTAAAAGTCTGGACTTTAATTTATCTAGGGGAATGGTTGTATAAAGTGTTGAAAAAAAACCAGGCTATGAATCGATTGTATATTTAACTGAGAAACAAGAGTTCTTGGAAATGACCCTTGTTTTTGTCTTAACAAAATAAAAAAAAGTTGGTACTATCCAAAAAATATAAAAAATTAAATGAGATACCACATATTCTCGCATAATCACCAGTGTGAGATTGACTTGTCCGGTGTGAGACAGCAGTGTGAGATTTTTCTGTCTTACACTGTGTATTACTACGCCGCGAACGATAACGTAAATATTCCGTCTTTATATAAAGAAATTGTAACAATGTTAAAAAATATTACATATACTTAAAATGTTGTCATTTAACTTATTAAGATAAACTTATTTTCATTCAAAATATTGTCGTATTTTCACTTTTTAAATGGCACTACTTTTAGATCGCGGAAGGATTCTTCTTGAATGAATGTGTACGCTATCGGATAGATAAGTTTTTTTATTCCCAGTTTTTATCTATCTAATTAATTTACATGGACTGAAATTCATTTTATCAGTTTACACTTTGTGTAAACCATTTTCAGGTACGCTCTCTCCGATGGTGTATTTAGATTTTTAATTAGATGGAAAATTAAAAGAATATATTTTTAGCCCTATCATGGCGACGTCATTGACAGGCCGTTATTTTGGATGAAATAATGCGAGAAAAATAATCATTCATTACATACTCG